TTCTTTAATAGAATTGTGTGACAGCACATTGGAATGGGCAACTAATGGCCTCTCCTCATGCCCCAGTGTTACAGTTCTTCCCTAGTTTCCATGATTCTTGGCTCTCTTTCTTTAAGACTTCTTCAAAAAACTGTCCAAAGTAGTCATGGCCTTTGTCACATTTTTTTAATATTAATAATTCTCCTCTTATAAGACCCACTAATGTACAGAACATGCTGAATTCAGTTATGAAGAATGTAGCAAACCCATTCTTTACAATTAGAGAAATTGTGGGGCACATATTACCTTCAGGATAGGAAGGTTACTTAATGTATTATAGTCTCTATTTAGATTTAGTTTTAAAAAATATTACTTGGTTTCTTCCAGACTCTATTTGTTTTTCATCCTGACTGGCTAGCTCTTCCTGTAACCAGATCTTTTGGATCAATGACTTTCATGATTAGTTTATCTTTATTTCTACCTCTCAGTCCAGTGCTAGAGCTATTTCTCCACTTCCTTTGTCTCCAAGAAAACAGAGCTCTATTTTTCTGGATCTTAGGTCAATTTATATTTCCAGTTGAAATCACTCTTCTAAGGATGCCTAGATGCTGTTTTTCAACTGTAGGCAAATGAACCAGCATATGCCAAAGACTGAAATTCTGAAAGGGCCTTATATATTTAGGAATGGAGAGGAGTTTAGTGCTACAGGAAAGCAAGTTGTGTTGCAGAAATAGATATAGAAGCTGAAAAAACAGTTTGGGGATGACATATGAAGAAATTTGTAGTCAAATTAAAGAGTTTGTATTTTATTCTATAGGTATCAAAAAGTCAAAAGAAGTTCTGAAGTAAGGAAGTAACAAAATGATTAATGTTTAAAAAAAATCTTATAGCAGTGTTGGGCAAAAGTTGAGGGGAACTTAGTGAAAAGATCAGTTATTATAATCTCAATAAGAGATGACAAGGGCCTGAAATATGCTGAAATATTATGGATAAAGCATGGAGGATTAATTTCAGGGTTATGTTTGATATAGAATCAACAAAATTTGATGAATATCTAGATAGGGGTTGGCTATTGGGGAATGACATTAGAATAGAGAAAAAGTTAAGAATAACAGAGTTTCTAGTTTAGTGTACTGGGTAGATAATGTCAATGAAAACTGAGAAAAGGAGGTGGTTTACAGTTGAAAGTGTTTATACATGTATTGTCTCATTGAAGATTACAGTCATGTTATAAATTACCATTATTGCTCTGCAGAAAGGTTAACTGTATATGTGGATGTGGCAGCATCATGGTTTTGGGAAATATTTTCCCACCTAGTGCTTCTTAGGGACTTGATAAAAGGTGCTATGTGTGTTATTTATAGCCATGTTTATTTTAAATATTTTTACTAAGTGACATTTTCCTCTTTAACTTCTATGTTTGGTTTAAATATTTTTGTTAGTGGTTCTTATTAAGTATTTAAAATATATTTGATTATCAGTCTGTAACAAATTTTAGGTTTAACATATTTATTCATCACTTACATTGTTTATTAAAAGACATAAAAGAGAAAAAAAATGCTGCCTCGAATATCCAGTCCTACCATGAAACTTAAATGATGTTAAAACCAGTAATATTTAAAGTCAAGTCTTGGCCTTTATGACAGTCTCAAGCAAATATATGGTTAATATATAAAACAAAAACCAAAACAAGGAGCTTAAAACACTCAAGGCATCTCTAGATGCGTTTGGATTGGTAAAGGTATAGTAACAGTAATATTCCATTTTTTTCTCATTATCTAAGGTACTTAGTATAAGGCACTGAGATATAAAAATGAATAAGCCTTTGCCCTGATTAACACTGAGTCTAGTGAAGGGCATGTAAACAACCCAATATAATATTATGTTTTAAATATTATGATGCAGTCAAAAATAAAGTCCAAAGGAACACAGATGAGGATGCAGTTAATTTGCCTGGAGAGTGGACAAAGCAAGGATGAGGTAGAGAAGCTTTCACAGTGGAGGTAACTTGTGGTAGGACCCTTTAAGGCTGAATAGGAATTGGTCAGGTGGAAAAAGAGGACATTGCAAACATGCATGGAAAGGAAAGAAAACAGTCTGGTTTAGGTAGCATAGGGCAAATTATAAAAAAAAAGAAGCCAAAAAAGTTAAGGTAGGATCTAGTTGTGGAGATTTTCCATATCATGGTAAGGACAATGGGCTTTAGGCATCCTGAGGCACTGAATGAATATCTTTAACAAAAAGCTAATGTCATATTCTTCGTTGTGGGGTTTATCTCACAAACTCATTCAGTCTTTCATTCTGATCTGAACTGTAATAAGACACCAAGCTGAAAAGAATGACAGGTGCTGTGCTTAAAGCTCAGTTTTAAAGGAGGTAGTAGCTTTCAGCAGAAGTACTGGTAAAGTGACATAGAAAAATGTGACATCTGAAATGGGTTTTAAAAAATAAAATTTGAACAAGTGTCATTTATATTTGATTATGACAATTCGATTAGAACTTTTTGTATTTCTCACTTATAACTAGCCTGTTTTCAAAGTAGCATTTAAAAATAAAGCAAAAATACACATAAATAGTCTAAGTGCAAAAGACTTCTTTTTCTGTCTTCATTGCTTCAAAATAGAAAAAAATCCATACATTTCTGTACACCTAACAGTGTCTAAGACAGTTCTCAAACAACTGTTGAGTTATATTGAATACTACTGGGTTTAATTGAATTCTAATCTTAAATGATGCATAGTTTTAAAATAATGGTGTGAGGGAGATCTAAAACAGTGTATTCTTGGGCAAACTGGCAAGATGAAGAGACAATCAAACACCAAGTTACAAGTCAATCTAGAATCACAAAGCTATGGCATTTATTATGCAGAGAGAAAGCTTGTTCCTAATATCGTGTTAGTGCACCCATTACGATTACCTTAGCTAGTCAAGTCAGTCCTTATGGGCTAATCACAAGCATAGAATAGATCACATTAGAATGAAATGTAGAATTGTGGAAATCTGTGATAGAAAAGCAATGGAATTTAGGATATATAGAAGTAGCACTTTAATTAATTTATTTTTTATTGTTTATTGGGTGACATTGGTTAATATGATTATATAATTTTTAGGTATATATTACCATTTGACATCTGTATATTCTATTGTGTGTTTCCCACCCAAAGTCCAGTTTCCTTCAGCTAGCATATATTTGATCCCCTTTACCCACTTCACCTTTCCCCTAAACCCTATATTTGACCCCCTTTTCCCCATCTACCTCTCCTCTCCTCCCCTACCCCACTAGTAACCACTAGTCTATAGTCCTCTGGTAACCACTAACCTACAGTCCATGTCCATGAGTCTCTGCTCTGTTTGTCCTGCTCATTTGTTGCTTTTAGGTTTATATCCCACATATAAGTGATATCATGTGGTTTCAACTTTTTCTGTCTGGCTTATTTTGCTTAGCATGATTATCTCGAGGTCTATGCATGTTGTTGCAAATGGCAGTATTTCTCTCTTCTTATGGCTGAGTAATTTTCCATTGTATATATGTACCACAACTTCTTTATCCAACCATCTATCGTAGGACACTTCGGTTGCTTCCATGTCCTGGCCACTGTGAATAGTGCTGCTATGAACATAGGTGTGCAAATATCTTTTTGGATATGGATTTTCAAGTAGAAGTAGCACATTGAGAACTCACTGATTTATAATCTGAACCTCTGCCACATTCTCATTTATAGTGTTGATGAAGTGCTTGTACTATAAATTTAAGCAAACATTCTCTGGAGGAATTTAAAAGCTAAAGTAATAGCAAATGCCCAGAATTGAAATCTCAGTATAGCTAAGAGTATTAACAAGACAGGAGGCTGATGAATATCTTACTGCCGAAAGTAGTATGCTAGTCATATCTCGTCATGGATGCTCCTATGGGTTCTTAAGTTAGGACATTGTTGTAGTTTTATTTTTACCAGGGAACATAAAACTTACTAACTTTGAAATAAACATTAAGGCAACTGAGGTGTTTAAAAACTAAGCAATAATTACATGTTTCTTAATAAACATGTATATAATAATAATAAACATTTTGAAAATCATGTTATTTTTTATGACTATGGAATTCACAAAAATCAAAATTGACTAGAAATAATAAATTGTTCTCAAAGCAGAGGAAAAACAAAAATAACGTTTACAAAATTTATAGGTATGAGTCATAACTATATTATTTATACTTGTAGTAAATGGAATAGTTGCAACATATAATTTTTTATCTTTAAGTATTTTTATCTACAATATTGAGGAAAGAAACCCCACAGCGCATATGAAAACTATTTTTCTACAGTCTCAAAGTGAAGATTAATAATTATCTGGGTAATAATTTCCACACACTTTTTCCTGAAATATTGTTCAGTACCAATGCCTTCTTCCCCTCAAACACACTTTATTAGTGAGATGGAACTCTGATTTCAAATGCCACTGGGATGATCGAGAGCATTTTAAAGTTTTTCCAGACACAGAGAGATTTGGTCTGGTGCTCACAGAACCACGAGATTTAACGGGACAAGACGCTCGAGAGCGTCTGCGGAGAAGCCGCTTCTGAGGAAAATATAGAATCTTAGAATTTTGAACATAAAGCTGTTTCCGTTCACAAATTAAAAAGAAATCATAGACATTCTGACTTTTCTTCTGAATTCTGACAGAAGGAAGAACTATTTAGACCAGGTACAGTAGTGGCATTAGCAAGAGGTGCTAAAAATAGACAACGTAACAAAAAACCGCCCGCGCTTTCGGTGCCTGAAGCAGAGACAACCCAGAGCTCGCGAGGGTGGAGAGGGGCAGGATCGGGGCGGGGCTAAGCCGGGCGGTGGAGGGGCGTGGTCGGGGCGAGGCTGCTATGAAACTGGGGCTGAGTTTGGCTTTGAGGGGCGTGTCGGGGGCGAGGCCGGGACGGCCTGGAGGCGGGGTAAGGCGGAGCCTCTTCGCGCAGGCTTAAAAGACCGGAACTTGCCGGCACCTCGGACAGATCCTCTCAGCTGTTGGTGATGTCGCTCACGCACCCTACGCGGCGAGTCGCAGAGCTCAGGGAGGGGGCCTCCCTTTTACCGCCTCCTCAAGACCCTGATTCGCAGCTCCCCAGTAGTAAACGGCTCCGTCTTGCAGAGCCTGGCAGTGTTTCTGAGGTGGAGTGGAGGCTTCCTTTGGTGCCTCGGTTGTCTGAGGTAGAAAGGGTCTGGGAGTTGCCACCGAGACCCTTCAAGGCGCCCCTTCTTTCAGCCAACGTGACTTTCGATAACTCTACAGACTTGAGTGTGGAGAAATCAGCCAGTGGGAAGCAGATATGCAGTCTGGGATGCCGAAATAGCAAATATGAGATGAATAGTTGTGTGCAGTCTCCCTCATCACAAAGTTTTGATTCCGGCTCGAGAACTCCCCGAAGTTCTTCTGAACCAGGACTGTCTGTTAGGGAGGTTTTCAGCGTGCACTGCAGTGATAGATCCCAAACAGAGGTCGGCCAGCTTTTCCCCAACGCCTCTTTACACGATATACATGGAGCGAAAAATGAGGATGGAAGACAATATTTAGTTCAAGGGAGACACAGTCAGAAAAATAATTATTTAAAACAGACGGAAAATCTATTTTTGGATGTTACCTTTTACAAGGAAACTAAATCGACACTTCACAAAATTAAGAACAAATATAAAGCTGACAGTGTTATGCCATCAAACAAAAAAGAAAATAACATTTCAGCATCTACGCTAAAAATATCAAAACCTCAACACCAGCCCAGCATGGAAATTGCCAAACCCAGCTATTTTAGAGATAGCAGCACAATAAGCATCTCTGAGTTTCCAACTGATTTAAATAGCAAAATGTCCCCTGTCTATTTAAAGGAAATAGCAAAGAAGAAGAATGACAAAAATGAGACATATGTTAGGGATTTCACAAACATTTACTGGTCCCAAAATAGATCGAATGTTAAGAAGCAAAAGTTACAGGATGATAAAAAAGTTGTGGAAGCAGAAAATGTTTTTTCTGAATGTTATGAAAGTAAACATCAGTCACTCAGCAACCGAAGTATTTGTGTGAGAAAAAAAGACTCGATCAGTGTACACTACTATAATCACAGTAGTATTAAGTCTGATGTAAGACACCCTGAAAAGAATTTTACTACAAAACTTCAAAATGCAAATTGGGAAGAAGCAGAAACATGCCTGGACAGTTACGTATCTACCAGATTAGAAAAATTTCAAACCTGGGACTATAATATTAGACACATTTTGAGAGAAAATAGAGAAAATAGTTGGATTATGGATAATTATAAAACTAACTGTGAAAATATGAAAAAAACTGGTATCAATTTGCTACACTTATTAGAAATAGATCTTTTAAGCCAGGAAGATTATTATAATACGAAATCTATGAATATGCATGAACAATCAAAGCTGCTCATGATAGGAACACTGGGTAGCCAAAAAGCTTTAATAACTTCTTTTTGGTTAAATGCTAAAGGAGAAAACAATAATATGGTACAGCTGAAATATTATGCAACACAAAAAGACTTTAATTTAAGCAATATTTTTGAGCATTTCATTACAAAAAGTTTTTATTTCTGTATAAGTATTTCAGGAAATGAAAAAGATCATAGTATTTTAAGCTGGTATGAAATTTTGAAGTGTATAAAGCAAATTGATGTTCAAAATCTAATAACTAGGAACATAAATGCCAATAGAAAGAATAACATTTTAAGCATATATTCACAAACCAATGTTTCAGAACCTCTAAATGTCACATTGAAAACCAGCATAGCTTCTTTGCTCAATAACTTTGACTCTTTAACCACAATTGAATACGATCCAAAATTAGAAGAGGGATGCATTTTTAACTGGATAGTGTATTTGAATTATCCAAGAAATATTATGGTGGAAAATCATATTGTATATCTAGGAAAGACTTTAGAAAAGACTTTTCTAAGACTGTTAGAATATAATGCAAAACCTATGTTAGAGAAAAGAAAGCTATTTGAAAGTGAACAAGTTTTTGAAGAGTCTATGAAAAAATCCATCAGTTCCTTTAGTATGGCAACTAAAAATATACATTTTCCAATTTTTGAAATATATGAAAAAATTCCTCTTTTAATGGACTTTGATGACATGGATGAAATTTCTCTGACAAAAGAAATTAGTTACAAGAAGAGTAAGAGCTGTCCTGAACAAGTCATGGATATGGAAAATTGGACTCACTGTAATACAAATACTGTTAAAACACATGTAAAATCTCTTACTCAATTCATACAGAACCAAGAATACATTAATGAAAAATTTTATGAAATCAATAACCACAATCAAGATTTAGATACTGAAAGAAAACAGGAGCATAATAAGATCAGTAGCTTTAATTTGAAGTCCATATTTGAAAATTTCTTCAGTATCAATCAACAAGCCATACTGACAAGCCACAACATAAAACATGGTGAACAAACCGATTCCACAATTATAACTCAGACGTTAAATTTTGGAAGTTTGCTCAGAAGTAACCTTGAAGGGAAAAAAGATGACTTGATTTGGAAGGAGGAAGAAAAAGTCACAGCACAAAGTTTAACAAACAGTTGCCAAGTTCATAAAGATATTAAGATTAAAAAGGAAGAGAAAAATAGTTTTTATTCAATGGATGGCATGTTTTCTACGCAACCAGTTTCCTTAAAGAGTAAGAAAATAAATGTGGAAGAAACTAAATACGTTAATCAAAATAATCTAGCTGACAGAAATGAATATGAGAGTATTTTGCAAGAAAGTGAGTTAGCTAATTCAAAGCATTTTCATCCAAAGAATGACTCTACAGAATGTGTTAACAATCAATTTGAAACTGATTTGAGTGTAGGGA